AGTGAATCTTCTGTTAGAACATGGAAAGATACAGCGCCACGAGCTTTTCTTTTTTTCTTCTTGTTTCTTCTTTTTTTTTTGGAAAACGGCCGGCCCGAGTATCTCGTTGGGCCCCTGTATCCCCGTTGCACCAAAAAAATGAAATCATGGCGCTGTATCTTTCCATGTTCTAGCCAAGATTCACTCTCGTTCTGCACATTTCGATGGTGGAAACTGAGAGTGAATCTTCTGTTAGATCATGGAAAGATACAGCGCCACGAGCTTTTCTTTTTTTCTTCTTGTTTCTTCTTTTTTTTTTGGAAAACGGCCTGGCCCTCTGACGTGGATGACTAGACTGCAGTTAGAAACTCTGCCCTGTGACAGGCACGCGACCGAAGAGTTTGGACTGCAGTGTAAACTTCAGAGGGGCTTGGACTCCAAAACGGCAGTTTGAAACGTATTTTCAAACTCTAACCCTGACAGCACCCTAGTTTTCTCTTTATTATATATAACACCTCCGCGGGTTGTAGTGGTTACGAGACTTTGTTCTTGAGGCTTAGGGTGCAGGTTCGAGGCCATGCACGCACGGCGGGGCCTGATGATGCCCTAAACGCATACTTTTTTTTCTTTTTTTTTTGTTACTATGAACTTGTGGGATTCTTGTCAACTTTGAAGAACAGAGCGGAGATTGAATTTCGGAGAAACCCAACACCACCCACCCACCCACACTGAGGCCAAGTCCCACTAGCAGCGTTGAGGAAACCAATCTGGACGTCTTTGTGGAGTGGTGCAGAAAATCGCATTGAGTTTCCCCAACCGCACATCTCCACAAACACGTCCGAACTCAGGCGTTGAGGAAACTCAACGCTGCTGGTCAGACTCTACCCCTGGGCTGGGTAGGGGGCCAGGGAAGATTAAAGGGGAAACTATGTGGGAGTCACAAAAAAACTACGTTAGACGTCTCCCTATTCGGCAGAGCCATCTTCATTACTTCTGCTGTTTTCAGCCAGCTATGGTATACTGCAGCAGTGATGCTAATCTCCAAACCCACTCTAAGGGCCATTCGTTCTGCTGCTGCCAAGTATCTGTGGAAACCAGGTGCTGACGGGGGGACCAGGTTCATCGCCAAATGCGCCTGGGCCAAGGTTATGTCAAAACCTCTTTCACAACCAAGACATACTGGACAGCTCTCGTCAACCTTTCGAAGCCACCAGAGCAGCACGAGGAGCCTTTGGCAGAGACTCAGTGGTGCGCATCGCAGACATATGGGACGAGAACAGCCAGGAACGGGCGACTGATGAGCAACTGAGAATCAAGCTTCACAGCACTCCGCACCTGCCTCAACGAAGAGCTCAACTCACACAAGCTATCCCCCCAAGCTGCCCAGTCTCTGGCCAGTGGTACTCGATGGGACCGGACAACAGTCAGACAGAGGCGGATCCACCACAGCAAATTATTCAAATCATCCAAGAGCTGGACGACGATCTTTGGCTTGCAAAGCAATGGACAAAGCCGGAAAGACCAGATAAGATCCCACGATTAGCAGCCTCATCAGACGTTTGCATTGAAGCCCACCAGCCACTACAACTAGTCAGAGTTCATACTCCACTCCAGAACCCTCATGTCCCTGTACACAGTTTACTGATGGGCGGGAACCCGCCGAGCAACCTCAAGATAGACCCGCTGGGCCACAGTTGGAGATTGGCCGACGACCGACAGGTTTTTCTCCATCAATATTCATCCAGGTGGGGAAGGAGAATGATTATCATTGCCAAGGAGCTTGATCTTCCGGAGCAGGTGGCAACCAAACTCAACAGGCTGGTACACTCACAACCGTGTTTGAAGCTGCGGGACGTGTGTCGGCTATGGGATCAGCTTAAGTCCATGCTGTCTTCCCAAAAGCTCGCCGCCCTATCTTGGCAACTGTCACGCATGGCCGTTCCATGCGCCATCTGGCTCTTCGAAAAAGGCATGGACATTCCCACCAAATGCCTCAGGCGCGGGGGCCATGCAGAGGAATCATTGGAGCACCTCATCTGGTCCTGCCCGGCCTCCCGAAGATTGTGGGTCTGGTGGGGCAAACACTGGGCTAATTTCGTGGGAACACTGCTCCCATGGGACGAAGGATGGGCAATTCATGGAAAAATCCCGCCTTCCCGGTTCAAGCATGTGGGAAGAGGCTACGTTGCGCAGGCCATCCGCTCAATTATTCTCCTGTGGATCATCTGGGAGGACAGGAACAATATCCTCTTCGGACAGGAATTATGGACCTGCGACACAGCCCTGATCTGCAAAACCAAGGCATGGATCCGGACAATGATCAAAGCGGACTGGATCAGGAAAGCCAAGAAAGGCACAACTCCACGCAGCCGGCACTGGTTCCTCGTTACCTGGGCCCGCGACAATCAGCTGGCTGCCATAACATTGTCAGGACAGCTGGCAATCTCTCCATGGTTCAACTCTTAAATTCTCAATCCTCCTTCCAATCTCTAAAATCCAGGGCACCTCTCAGCCCTCCTTGTTTGCCCGCTTCAGGCCATTCCAGGCCGCTCCGCTTGCCACTACCCCCGTCTTCTGAACCCTCTCTCTACCCCCAGAGAGATCGTAAAAACAACGTACCTTGGAGCTTCACGTATCGTGAAACAAATTACATTGTAGCAAGCGCAACTGTACTGCGCTTCAACAGCCCTTCTACTCCTGTCTCACTCTACCCCCATTCCGACCAACCAGGACACTCGGTTAGTTCAGGCCACAGTAGGCCACCAGCAGTGAAGCTGAGGGGCGGAGGGAGGAGAGTGGCAAGCTCAGAGAGGAGGAGCCAACATTTTGGCTCCAACCAGCCGAAGTTAGGCTGGTCCGCTGGACCCGCTTTCCAGCAGGTGTAGCTCCCCACCAATAGACGGAGCCCTTCCCCGAGTGGTAGTGGTGGCTGCTCATATCACCACCACTAACACCGGGGGG